CCCCAAAACCCCAAAACCCCAAAACCCCATTAATTATGAATTGACAATTAATGGAAAGAAATAAATAATTTAAAAGCTTAAATAAGTTCGCATTAAATAAAGTCTTATTCATCTTTACTAATGATATCTGAATCTAGACTGATTTTATTCAAAGCATCATGCTATCAGGATCTGAGAGGTATCTTTAGATTAAAGAAAGAACCTTAGCAGCTTGCACCTCATCTAGTTTAGACCCGTCAAATGCCATAGAGAGTTTAACTTTTTATTGAGTTTTTAGCTTGACTTCAGAATTACTTTCTTCTAATGAATCAATATCTAGGATGAGTTAGTGGTGGGCTGCATCTATTCCTACTTCCTTCTATGGAGCAGTGTAGTGGAGTGAAATCAAAGATGAAGGATTCACGACTGCGTAAGACTCTGCTGCACTTGAGACCTGGTAGATCTCAACCAAGCTCTGTGGAACATCCTGACTGAAGTTGCTGCCTTGAATTTGCTAAGATGACTTTGGAGAAGTTAACTAAGAGGTGTTTACTCTGTCGGTTTATTGATAGAAGATCACACTCTTTTCCTTGTTGTCTTGGACCAGTCTTGAAACGTTAATGTTTTTCGCTTTCAATACTTTGCTTAAGGCTTTTGAAGTGGCTTTAACAAGGAATAAGTCAAGAGTAAGTTTGGCGTCATAGGTAGAAAGAGTGGACAGTAATTCATCTACAATGCAGGTGGAAGTCAAATAAGAGTGAGGAAGGTTACTCTTTGAATGCTGAATGCTTTATGCTACTTATTTTGACTAAGAATCAAATGTATTGTCTTTCCATGATTGCTTCTTAATATTGAATCTATCATAAGTTCCATCATTTGGTGTTCCCTTTGATTATTATTTCTATGGTTGAGTTTACTTCTTCTCCTCTTTTTATACTGTTTATTGCTGAGTTTGTGAAGCCTATTATTGTTATTGATTTTATGATGATTAATCTACTGCCCTTTTTTGTCCCTTTTAAATATTGCTGGATTTAATAAAGCTGAGAACATCCCCTTTTTAGATTAAATTTTTAGGGCCAGATGCTTTCACCTCTGAAGGTAAAACCTAGTAAGACTTAAGATAGAAACCTGCAGATGGAGCAATTAGGTAAGAGGACTCTTGCTTGTGATACTCTGTCTCGAAATCATGATGAGACTACTGTGGCTAGCTCTGACTTTAAGATGTTGAAGAAGTAGATTCTTATTTTTATGAGGTTGCTGCTGGCTTAGATTCTTGAGTGTATTTTGCGACATCAACCTAAGCAATTTCAGCTTGCTCCTCTACCAAGAGACCTATAAGCTTTCCAACTGTAACTTATTTAGTATCTTGTGGGACGATAATCTTAGCCAAGTATCCCTCCTCCTGGCTTTCAAAACCAATAGTTGCCTTGTCAGTTTAGATCTCACATAAGATATCTCCAACATTGACTTTATCACCTTCTTTCTTAGTCCAGGTTAATATATTTCCCTCAGACATAGTGGGTGACAAGGCTGGCATTTCAAGCTTAATAACTGAGGCAAATTGATATAGATTTTACTGCCACAGGAATGATGCTTTATTTAATGCCAGTGATTTTGTGGATTACTTATGCAGGAGTTATTTAGCTAAAATTCTGAAAGCCATCTTACCTAATATTTAAATAGATTTTATTATAATCACATAATTCCTCAATCATCTTTATTAGATTTAGCCTTAAGGGGTTTTGGGGTTTTGGGGTT